GATTGATTCAGTGACTGGGATAATCGGGAGGGAAGTGTCAGAGACAGTACAATTGGCACAGGATAGAGCATCGTTTAGGGCTGTTGTACATAGGGTCGCTATGAGTCGCAAGCGACTCGTCAACACCTAACAACAACAAGAACACAGTCAATTACCTAGATTTGATTCTTATGTTATAGTTTAATAGCTCCTAGTCCAGGAAATTGATGTCTGTGTTGGTAATTACACACAGAAGACATCAAGTATCTATGGGATGGTTGACATTGGTCAAAACTCAACCAGAAACTGCGGGTAACATATTCAAATAATTGTTATTATTGTTATGTGCCTTCAAGTCTCCTGCGACTCATAGCAACCCTATGTACAACAGCCTTACTCTATCCTGTGCCAATCTTATTGTCTCTGACACACCTTCCCCCATAACCCCAGTCACTGAATCAGCCCATTTCATTACATGTCTTCCTCTTCTGTGCTGTCGCTCCACCCTCTCAAGCATGACATCCCTCTCTAAGGACTGGTCCCTCCTTGCCACATGTCCAAAATATGCCAGACGAAGCCTCAGAGTCATTGCCTCCAAGGAGTATCCTGGTTTAACCTCTCCAGGATGAACCTGTTTGTTCTCTTAGCAATAAATGATATATTCAGTACGCTTCTCCAACACCACAGCTGAAAGGCATCAATTCTCCTTCTATCATTCCTAGTCATTGTCCAGCTCTCTGATGTATAGCAAGTGATTACAGAGACCATGGCCTGTATCAGGTGCACCTTAGTCTCCAGACTGACGTCATTGCTTTTCAGTACCCCATAGAGGTCTCTGACAGCAGACTTTACCAACGTAATACATCATTTAATTTCCTGGCTGCTGGTGCCAAGAATGTTGATTGTGGAGCCAAGCAAACTAAAAGCTATTTACAATCTCAAATCTCTTCACCATCCATCACGATGCTACCAATCAGCCCAGTGATGAGAATCTTTGTTTTCTTGATGTTAAGATTTAATCCATATTGAATGCTGTAGTCCTTGACCTTCTGCAGCAGGTGCCTCAGGTCCTCCTCAGTTTTAGCAAGCAGGGCTGTGTCATCTGCATAACACAGATCATTGATGAGTCTTCCTTCAATCCTGATGCCACATTTCTCATAGAGCCCAGCCTCCCAGATAATCTGTTCTGCATATATGTTGAAAAGGTACAGAGTTGGGACAAATCCCTGGCATACACCCCTCCCAATTTTGAACCCTGCAGTGTTCCTTGCTCTGTTCTGATAACTGCCTCCTGGTCCACATATAAGCACAATCAAGTGTTCTGGAATTCCCATTCTTCTCAGAGTTATCAACAGTTTGTTACGGTACACACAAATGCCTTTGCATAGTCAATGAAACAAAGATAGCCATTCCTCTGGTATTCCCTGCTTTCAGCCAAGATCCATCTCATATTAGATACAATATCCCTAGTACCTAAACCCATCCTGCACTTTGGTACGTTTATATGTGATATTAATGATCCTGTTAGATAATTTCCACACTTTGTCAGATCATCTTTCTTTGGAATGGGAACAAATAAAGATTTCTTCCAGTCAGTTGGCCAAGTGGATATCCTCCAGATTTGTTGGCACAACTTGTTGAGCATATGTAGGGCAGCATTTTTTTTTGTTGAAATATATCAATTGGTATACCGTCAGTTCCTGTGACTTTGTTTCTGCCAGTTCTTTAAGAGCTCCTTGAACTTCTTTTTTCATCACCACAGGCTGTTGCTTGTATGTTGTTTCATGAAACTCTTCTGTTTCTGCTAATACCTTTTGGTACAATGAGTCTGTATGCTCTTTCCATCTTCTTTTAATACTTCCTGCATCATCTAATATTCTGCCCAAAGCATCCTGAAGTATTGCAACCCAAGGCTTAAATTTGTTCTTCAGTTCCTTGAGCTTAAGAAATGCTGAGCACGTTCAGCCTTTTTGATGTTCCGTCGCAGCTTTTTGCACATTTCATTACAATACTTTGTCTTCCCGCATTAACCTTTGAAATCTTCTATTCAGCTCCTTAATTTCTGGATTTCTTCCCTTTTGCTTTGGCTTCTCAGTGCCCTAGTGCAATACTCAAGTCTCCTCTGATATCCAATTTGGTCTTTCTCTTCCTCTGTCTTTGTACTGACCTTTTGCATTCTTTCTGGATGATATTCTTGATATCCTCATCTGGTCTTCTCTCATTAGTGTTCAATGCCTAAACCCTGTGCCTGAGATGATTTTGAAATTCAGGTGGGATAGACTCACAGTCATATTTTGGTTCCCATGGGTTTGATTTAATTTTCCTTAGTTTCAGGTTGAACTTGCATCTGAGTAGTTGGTGGTGTTTTCCAGTCAGTACCTGGCCTAGTTTTCACAGCTGAGACTGAGCTTCTTCAGTGTTTCTTTCCACAGATATAATTGATGATTCCTATGCATACCATAAGGTCAAATTCATGTATATGGCCTATAGTAATGTTTCTTAGGAAATGTATTTGTAATCAATAAATTGTTGCTTGTGCAAAATTCTGTCATTCTATCTCCAGCTTCAGTTCCATTTTTGTAGCTTAATGCACTAGGGACAATATTAATTTCAAAGTATAAATGGGATGAATGGAAACACTGTCTGGAACAAAGATTCAGGGAGACTGTCAGTAGAAATTGATAGTAACTTTAGCTTGTTGGTTAAAAAAAAGATCAATTTGAAATATTTAATTTGGTTACTTACTTACTAGTCGTGAAAAATGTAGTATGTAAATTACACTAAACATTTTTTCTTTTGTCTTACTAGGTTTCTACTTAGAGATACAGTGTAGAATTATGCTATAAATAATTCCTTTTGAGTCATGAAAACAAAACCTTTACCTTTTTTTCTGAAATGTGAAAAAGTAATGATAAAACATATTCAACAAATATTTATTAAAGCCTGAGATCAATATTTGCTTCCATTAAAAAAAAAATTTGATTTAACAGAGTTTAGAAATTATCAAGCAGTATCACTAATATCACTTGCAAGTAAAATCCTGCTGAAGATTATCCAAAAATGACTGAAGCACGATATTAATGGAGCACTACCAGAAATAAAAGCTGTATGTAAAAGAGGCCAAGGCACTAGGTGTATTATTGCCAATGTCAGGTGATCTTGGTGGAGAGCAGGGAATACCAGCAGTATTTTTATCTGTGTCATTGACTTTGCAAAGACTTTCAGCT